GAGATTATTTGAAAGTTAATTAAAATCAAAGTTAATCTTTTTCAATAAATTAATACAAAAATATCTCACCTGGCCAAATGCTCCTTTACCCAAATCGTCAAATCCTGATGGAACTTTTAATTCAACTTTTTTAATTGTCATTACTTCGTTTAATTCCGTAATTGCATAACGTTGACAATGACATCGATCTTGGCTTCCACGAGAAGTTGTAGCTATTTCTTAAAAGTCAAATATAGAAAATAAATTTATATAAAGCAAGCAAATGAAATTGAACAAAACATAACCATATCCGCCATTTCCAGGCCTAAGTTTACTTTGAAGACAACCAGCTAGCGATCCTATATTCAAAATTAAGATTTATCAAAATTATTTTTTAATTATCAAATAATTCCGAATTATTATAACTAGTTAAGGTTTTAAAAAAGATTTTTCATAGATCCTATAATGTTGATATTCATGCCCTTTCAAAATCGTCAAAAAGTATGGTCCTCAGTCGTTTATAGAGGAATTAGCATCCATATAATACAATCTTTAAGGATGTAACATTTTGGTCTTATAGCGCCAAAAACTTTATTAATATACGTTCGCAAATATATTGTCATTTTTTATGAAAACAAATAATATATTTATTTATTTTAGCACATGTTAGTAAAAGATTAAATATATACCTCGAAACAAATTTATCAATACCAAAATAATCGGGAAAAGAATCGGTAACTGAAATATATTCATTGACTAATTACCTTAAACAATTTTTAAAAATAATTAAATTAGGCTCATCTATTATGTAATATAAAGAGAACAAGTTTGAAAGCATAAGCATTTATGTTTGACATTAGATGAGAATATGTAGGCTGAGTATAAAGGTAAATAGATTCTATTATTAGTCCGGCCAGACAGTATTCAACACTCAAGCCCTTAGAGTGATTGGACGGGCGAAAAACAATTTCTCCGATAGAGCAATAAAAATATGATTTACACTTGGCTTATTCCTCGGTTCTCAATCCCATTTATTCTCAACCAACGAATTTATTTTATAAGTTTAATTTAAACATGAACTTAAAGGAAAACTTTGACAATTTCTTAGAAATAAAAAAAATTTTTTTAATAAAATAATTTAAAGAGGAATCGACTAAATTAAATAAAATGAAGGGTAGCGATTCCTCTCTCCCATTTTGACTATCCCAGCCCTCTGTATATGTGTAGGGAGAAAGATAATAATAAATAGAAGAAAGAGGAATAGTAAGAGAGAGAGAGAGAAGAGGCGAAAGAGGCATAGCCTCTTTTCCTTATTATCTCTAACCATCTTTGGCTAAGTTACGTCGGTTAAACACGATCCGCTCACACGATCTTTTCCGCACCAGCACGATTCGGCGCCGCGATTCAGAGCAAGTAATATAAGGCACGTTTCCGCGCCAGGGATACAAATAGTGATATTTTACCCACGTCTTTGTTTTCATTTCTGTTTTGTTCAGATGAGCATATTTTTGCTAATGACATAATTTCTAATTTTTCAAAAATTACCTATTGGGTTATTTTTGACTTTTAATCCGCTATATTCTGTAATAGATACTCCCTATTCTGTAAAGTTGAGAAACCTATGCATCGTCATATTAGAAGTTATAATCAAAATATGAGCAAAATTTTGTCTTCTTTAACTCCGACTTTTTGGCCCGCCCGCGTTCCGTTTACCATTTCTTAAATTCTTCCACCTTCTGTCTTCCGCTTTTCAAAATACAGCGCAGGCCAGACTACTATTTCTATTATGGGCATCGCATATTTGCTTTGTTAAAGACTCAAAAAAAGGCCCGAAAAAGTGCCTCTAATGCCGTGTTTACATAAAAAGCGTTTTGCGTTTTGCGGAAGAAAATAGCATTCAAAATAAAGAGACGCGATTTTGTCTCTCCTTCTTTTGAATGCTATTTTCTTCCGTAAAACGCAAGACGCTTTTTATTAAACACAGCATAATGTCGGCCAGACTAGCGACATGCCTACGTTTTATTAATTTTTTATATTGATTTGAAAAGTCTACAGCAATTATATAAAAAATTTTTCAATTGCCCTTTTAATTTTAAATCGGCATTCCTTTTAATTTTCAAAACACAATTTTTAAAATTAAAACACAAATATATGTAGACAGAGGCGGCAATTTATTTAAGGGAAAATTTTCCTTTCATTTATTATTAAGAATTATTCAAAAAAAATTTTTCTTGCCCTTCTTTATTTTTGTTTATTTTGTAGTCTTATTTATTACCTATTCAATGGTTATAAACATGTTAATGGGAAACTTTCTATTGGACTCGGGAAATTCGTTATAGCTAATAACCCCCCACAAATAGCCCGCAAGTTTAGTGAAAAAACAAAGTTTAATTTTCATATGGAAACGATTATAAGAAAGATCTGAAAAAAATTCCTGAGATCTTCCCTTTTTTTAATTTAAAAAGAATATATTTTTTCCAAAATTCCTTCCATTTTAAACATTTAATAATTTTATTTCTAAATTTATTATTATTTATTATTATTATTTTATTATTATTTATTTTTATTTATTTTTAATTTTTTAATCAACGAATTTTGTATTGTATATATTGTAAAGCATATAGCTATTTAATTCCTAAGGCTATGCAGGAGGCGGCGTGGTGTAATTGCGCTAACACATCAGTCCGGTCTACGGAAGATGCTGGTTCGCTCCCAGCCGCCGATTAGCCTCATGTACTAGCTAAAAGAGAGAAATAGCTATAGCCTAGCTGTTTTTTATATTAAGTTTTATATTATTTTAATTATAAAATTTAAAAATATAATTTATAAGATAATTTTATAATGAATTTTATTAGTAAAATAAAAAGTTTTCCCTGGATAACCAAACTTATATTCATTTAAAAGGTGATAAACAGGGTTACAAAATAAACAAAAATATGGCCAAAAATAAAAAATTTTTATTAGTCCTTAAAAAGTGCAAAAAAATTTTTTCTAAGAGAATTGCCGCTACTGTCAATATTTGTATTTTAATTCTAAAATTGTGTTTTGAAAATTAAAAGGAATGCCGATTTAAATTTGAAAGGGCATATAAAAAAATTTTCCTTACTTCATTGATAGACTATTTACTATTTTTAATTTTTTATTCTAATTTTAATTTAATAAACAATTAAATAAATTTATTTATTTACATATCTAGAGATCTTCCCCTTCCCTTTGAAGATACAAAATACCCAATATCATTAAATCTGTCAAAGTAGTAAATTATGCATTTTTCAAATAGTGCTTCTTAGTTGAAACACCCCGTATTTTTCCTAAAATTCTTTAATTTTAGACATTCTGTTTTTTTAAATTATTTTACGAGAAAGAAAAGTTTATTTAAATTTTGTTATGCGTATTTCTGTTTTATTATTTTTTGCGATTTTAATTCCGAGTTTACTTTCTTTGGATGAAAGAAACCATAAAATAACAATTGAGAGCAACTCTCAATTGCCAAATAAAAACAGTATTTTAAAGAAAATGAAAAGAAAAATTGGCAAAAATTTTAACTCTATGTTTCGAAAGATTGGATTTTCAAAAAAATCAAGAGGAGAGAAAGATTTTTGCGGTGAAAAAATTTTTAAAATTAAATTTCTCATTTATTCAATTTTAGAATTATAAGTTCAGAATTTTCAAGGACCAATGGAATAGGGTTTTCTGTGGTCTAGCGAGTTATATTGATAAGTCTTATCAACACTAATTAACTTTTCGAGATTTGTGAGAAGAAACAAGGAATCTAACCCCATGTTACGTCTAAATTTAAATCTGGCCGGGCTTATTGAATTTCGAGTTGAACAAATCCAACGTTTTCTAAGTTTCCAAAGTTGGTTATATATCTCCTAAAAATGTTGTGAACGGAACCTAATCAGATTCTCTTTCTTCGCAGACTGAGAACCAGTCGGAGTTACTCCAACCTAGAAAATAATTCAAATATTTTTTAGTTTTTCCTAAAAAAGAAACAAATCCATTGTATCAACAATTCACGGACGAACATGAGAAATCATTAAAAAATTTATGCAATACAAATAGCGGAATAAAAGATGTTATTAAGTCGGTTAACACGTTAGAAAATGGAAAAGAGATATTAAAACAAATTTTGAAGAATTTAAAAAATTCGGAGAAAGAAAATAATTCGAAGAAAGAAAGGATTTTGAAAGGAAAGCTTTTGAAAGAACAATTCAATATCTATAAAGATTTACCGTTGTCCGATGCAATGCATAAATTTAGAAAGTTTGTGGATAAGAATAAATCAGATAAGGTTAGACTTGAAATATTATTTTTACTTAATTATAATTTATCTCCCTTTTCAAATAAGATTTACCTTCGGTAAATCTAGCCGTTTAATAATGGTCGGGTTTGGGCCATAATTTTTGTTAAAAATATTACATATAATTTTATATAGCATTAATATTTTTAATTATCGTGCCGATCAGATCTGAGCATTCTTCAAAGAGTTATAAGTGATAGGCAATGTTTCAGACAGAAAACTCTTTTTTACCAATAAGGGCTTCTATAATGATCAGATCGTATCGGCCAAATAAGGAAATGTTGCCGAATTTTGAGACATTAGAAAGTAAGGTTTACCGTATTTTTTCGATTAATTCCTCTGGGGAATTATTTTTCAACCCAACTCTAGCATGGGGAATTATTCGAGGGAGGGGAATTATTCGAGTCTCGGCATTTGAACGTGCGGTAGGGTATTTGTGTGTTGGGAATTATTTTTTCAACCCAACTCTAGCATGGGGAATTATTCGAGGGAGGGGAATTAATCAAGAGAGGGGAATTAATCGAGAAAATACGGTAGTACCATTCTGAAGTATAGTACTATTCTGAAACATCACTCGTCTATTTATTTTAGTTTTTTTAATTTCTCGGAATCACTTTTAAAGGTATTCGACACGAAACTTGTTTTACAATTTTTGCAAGTTCTTCAATTTTGTGCAACAATCAAACACACCTATGAACCCCCTATCCGCCCAACATTAATGCTTTATTGTAAACATATTGTGTTACCTAGAGCTAGAGAAGTGCTTAATTCTGTTGGGATTGGATATAGTTTTGGCAAATTTTCTATTAAAATTGACAAAAATAATGAAGGAAAAAAGGATCCAATGAAAATAGAAGAGTGGTTAGTTGAGGAAAAATCTGTTGAGAAATGGTCCCCAAATCTTGAAACGATTTTAGAAGAAAATTAGAAAATGAGTAACGATAAACCGAAAAATCATTAAATTTGGGCACTATTGAAGAAGTTGGAAGTGTTTTGTGCACTTCTGCGGAGTGTTTTGTAGACTTTTACAAATTTTATTCACACGAATACTTTTATTTTTCGCCGTAATAAAATACTAAAAAAGTGAGTAAAATGTAAGCTTTTATTATGTTAAAAAGTCTGGAAAACATGCCGCAAAAATGGACTGGTTTCTTCTCTAGTGTCTAGATTTATTGTAGATACATCCCAATGTACCACAAGCCCAACTGTATCGCCTAGCTTTAACTAGGTTTAAAATTATCGAACCCATGACGTTCTGATATGTTTCGATGTGCCTCGACAAGCTGAATCGAACATCAGACGTCCAGGATTCGACTATTCTTAACTAATATTAGCTTGGCGGACATTGAGCTCGCGGTACGTTATCCTACTAACATTGTTGCATTTTAGTTTTTTTTATTTGTTAAGATTATTGTTAAGCTTTTTAGCTTTTATTTGTCTTTTATAAAAAATTTTCGAACAAATTGTTATTGTTTAATTTTATTTATCCCATAACCTCCATGTTATCACGATTTAAAAATGTTTACTAATTTATACAGATATACATAAAAATTGAGCAAAAAAATGTATGTGATCAAGCATCAAATTAATTTTATAGGGGTTCAGAAAAGTATAGAATACTTCTTAAATGTGTTCCTATTATAGCCCAAGGGTTGAGTTTGACAGAATAAAAGAATGATACGAGTTATAATTAGGGCTCGGATTTATATTGAAATAAAATCGCAAAATATGGCCATAAAATATTGAAATAAGTGGGCAAAATATTGACATAAAATGACAAAAATTAGTGAAATATTGAAATAAATTATCGTTTATTCACTAGAAAACTCCCCAAAAAAGTTGAAATTTGACAAAAAAATGAATCACGTTTTTAAAATTTCACATTTGCTTTATAGCCCGACGAATTGAGTAACTTTACGCTCTTAGACATTTTGCGATTGACAAAATGAGGTGGGACATTTAGTGGGTTTTGCTCAATGTGCCATTTTTGAGGTTTTGCCCAACAAATTTTGAGATTTTTGCAAATGTACTGTAGTGAATAATAGGCCATAATATCCCCTTTTCAGCGCCGCAGGCAAAAATTCTGAGAATTTTGGAAGACCAAGAAGCCAAATTTTTCCATTTTTAGCACCGCAGGCAAAAATTATGAGATTTTTGGTTGTCAGGCGGCCAGATTTCTTCACTTTTTTTCCTAAAATTTATGAAAAATCCCTAAATTTTGGTAAAAATATGCAAAAATATTGAAATAATTTGAAAAATGTGCCAAATATTGAAATAACTGGAAAATTGGCAAAATATTGAAATATATTGAAATGTAACTTTGTTCAAAATCATAATATCGAAAAACTAATGGCATATTTGAGCTTCTCTTGCCATAATATATTCAGGAAAAAAAATATATTTCAATACAAATCCGAGCCCTAGTTATAATAAATTTGGGTTAGGATTTATATGGATTTAAATATTTTTTCCTGGTCCCATTAGGTTCTGAAATGTCTAGAAGACTGTTTTGGCGTATATGCTGATAAGGTCGTTTTTGAGTTATCAATCAGTATCTTATCCATATTTTTCGAATTATAGTCCATATCAGTGATGATTGGATTACCCTTTCGACCCAAACTCCGATCCAAAGCAAATCTTGTAACCTAACCCCAACTTTTTTTCTCAATAAGCCCCATTCTTAGTCCATATAAATCCTAGCCCTATAATAACCTGACTTGCTCAGAATATTGATTTTAGTATCTGTATCCGGATATTTACGCGTATACAGGCGGATATCCGCAGGCATCTTGATATTATCTGTATCCGTGTCCATGAGCAGGTCTGATAATAACAGCACAAGATTAAATAAAATAATGAGAAGTAAAATAGGCAGCCATATCTACGGACTGTCTGTAAACGGCCAGTATCAACCAAAAAACGTTTAACCAGCTGCTTCCTATATTAAAATACCCCCCAATTAATGTTAATAAATAGTATTAGCTCTCATTATTTTTCAATTTATTTTTTCTTAATTCCATCATTCTTTGTTGATTTCTAACAAGAATAGGCTTCCTGTGTTTTACATAAACTTCCAATTTTGTGCCGTCAAACTCCCAAATGAGAAGAAAATAAAACAATGAATTTATACCGATAAGAAAATATTCGGCTATTGAGAAGGTTGCATATGCTTTAAATTAAAAATATTTCAAGATGACGACTACAGGGTGGCCAGAAAGTAATTGCACACGTTATTTATAAAATAACTCTATTCAAATCGAAAACTTTCTGAGACTTTCTGGTGACCATGTAATTAAAGATAGTTGTAACTATCGTATTATTCCTCTCCATCAGTATTACTATTTAAGGATTGTGAGAGAATTTGGAGAGGATATTAAGGAACTTGGGCATATCAAAGGATCACTTGATATCTTTTAAAGTTCCCAGATATCCGTCGAACCGACTGGTACTAAAAAGGAAGAATTCTGAGTTAATGGCCTTATGATTGATTTAATTTAGAAAAGCTTCATGAGATTATCGTAAAAGATTAAAACAGTTTAATAAAAAAAATTTGGAGCCCCGAAAAACTCCAAAATTTTGTTTGCGGACACAGAAAAATAATTTAGCCGCCTTTTAAGGATATTTAACCATATCAAATCAAAATATATTTCAACATCTTTAACTTACGTATTGTGTTGCAGGTTAGCACAAAAGTTAAATAAGAAAACCCCGTTGACATAGATAGGGGATAGCCTACAAGAAATAAGGCGCATTTTATTTGAAAAACTCTATCGTGCTTAAAAATATTTTTTAAATTAATTTTAAAAAGAAAACTAGCCATCGGTCTTAATTTTCTAATTCCAGAATGGTAATGCAAAAGATTGTTGAATAACATATTTAAATTAAATGGGATAAGCCATAAAGCAAAACAGAAGGCGTGAACTTCTGAATTTAATTATTTTGTGTTTTTGTTAAAATCAGAATTTTTTTTTAATTTTTATTCTGATTTTTATAATTAAGTGTTCTTGTAGTTTATTTCAGAAAAATATTTTCAGAATTAAATTAGTTATTGGATATAAATCAGAATAAAATAAAAATCAGAATTTTGATAAATATTAATTCTGAATATTATATTAAATTCTGATTTTTATTTAAGAGTTAATTATAATCGAGAAAACCAGAATAATAAAATCAGAATTATTAATTCAGAATTTTTAAATAGAATTTTTTAAATCAGAATTTTTAAGTCAGAACTTAAAAAATCAGAATTTCTGACTAAATTAAAATATTTAAAATCAGAATTTAATGTTAATTAAATCAGAATTTTTCAGAGGAATTTTTGTTAATAAATAGAACCATATAAATTGTTTTTTACAAAATCAGAATAAAAAGAATAGGAATTTCAGAATTTTTAAAAATCAGAATTATCGGAATCAGAATTATTATAATTTAATTTAAAAATTAGAATTTCTGATTTTTAATTAAAGGTTAAAAATCAGAATTAGTTTATAAAATCAGAATTTTAATACATTTTAATTCTGATTATTATATTAAATTCTGATTTTTTATTTAATAGTAATAAAATCAGAATAAAAAGAATCGGAATTTCAGAATTATTTAAAATCAGAATTATCCAAAATCAGAATTTAAAAAATCAGAATTATTATAATTTTAAATTAAAAATCAGAATTTCTGATTTTTATTAAAGTTTTAATATCAGAATTAGTTGATTAAATCAGAATTTTAATTATATTCTCATATATAAAAACCAACTAAAATTGCTTTCAATATCAATCACAGAAACTGCAGTTAGTCCCAACGCTTCAATAACCAATAAAAAATAGTGCAATTTAACTATCACGCAAAACCAACGTTTTGTTCTGTGAATAGAGTCACCCAAGGAATAATGATTTTTATAGACCTTTTTTATTTTTTAAAAAATAATTTTTAATTTTAAATTAAACTAACAATGGCATAGAAAAAACGAGGAGGTAAATGCATTGCTAAAACCTTTGAAAAATTTTTTATTTGATTAATAAAGGGAATTTTTTAAATTAATTTATTGATGGCTAGGATAAGCAACGACAATCGGAATAATAAAAATTATAATTTTAAATTGAGAATTATTTAAAATCAGAATTTCTTGTAAAATCAGAATTTTTTTTAATCAGAATTTAAATTCGAATTAACAAAATCAGAATTTCGCTTAATTCTGAATTTATAAAATCAGGATTATTTAAAAATCAAAATTTTAATTTAATAAAAATAGAAAATCAGAATTTTAATAAGTTTAAAAAAAAGTTCTGATTTAATGAGGTTTCTAAACCCAAAACTCTGTTTAATACATATCAACTTTTTCATTAAAAAAATTTTTTAAAAGATTTAAAAATAATTTACCATTAGCCAAATATATTTTTGTGGCTTCCAAACACCAATACTTTAAATTATTTAATTTAAAAATTAAATTTAGCCAATTAATTTACCTATAACTGACGGGAGGAAAAATACTTTTAAGACCCTTAAATTAATTTTTTGAGTGGGAAAATTTATTCTAAATTAATTAAAATACCGGACACATTGTTGAGGGAATTGTAAAATTAGCTATACGGTCATATTGCAATGTAAATGAATATGCCAGACATAAATAACAGGCAATACCTGAAGGATGTTTTTATTTTTAGAATATGTCAGAATTTTTTTAAACCAGAATTTTTAAAATCAGAATTTTTAAACCAGAATTTTTTAAAATATGAATTCCTCCTAAAACTCTTAAAGACCTAAAACCATTCCTTTTCAAGTTTAGTGTAATGGTCATAAAAACACCAGCAAACGGCGCTTACTTATCCATACCTCAACTTGGCTTTGTTTGGAATATGGATCAGAGACTTTTTTCTCAACCAAGGCCGAAAAAAATTTTCCATTTTTATATTTAAATAACGAATCAACCAGGGCCCGTAGAAACCCCCCCCCCCAACTGGTACTATTACACGAGTAACTAACTTTCAACTCGGGGTTATCCTTACCCTTATTTTGAAAGGGTTCTTGGTTAACAAGCCCACAGCTGAGGGACTCGATTTTAGAATATGTCCCCAAGATAAATACATATTAAAATCAAAAAATAAATGTTTGAGGAAAAGGGAGAACGAATTTAACAATTATTTAAAAAATTTTATCATTCCAGCTTACAAAAAATTTTTTACCAGGTAAAATCGCAGCTAATAACCCAATCGACCTAACTTTCCATTTCGCATCAGGTCTAATTGCCCATTCTGTTGTCTCAGAATTTTTATTTTCCCTAATTTCCTCCTTTTTATCAAAACAATTTTTACAAAAATTATTTTCTTTTTCATCAGAATAGGAAGTAGAGGCTTCTTCTGACGAATCTGGGGAGCAACTATTTGAGGTGGAAGAGTCGTATAAGGGGGGAGAGTAAGAGGTTGTTGGGTCATAATCTTCAATTACTATTTTTGTTGTTTTTGAAGGCTCTGGAATTTTTTGGAGATTTAGGGCTGTTATGGGGATTTGTGGTGGTTGTTGGTGGTGGCATTTTAAAGAAATTGAAGTTGTTTGCATTTATTTTTTATTTAAATATTTTTTTTTGATTTTTTGGAGGAATATTTTTATAAATAAATAATGGTGAATACTTAAAATTCAAAATAATTTTTATTTTAAACGTGTACTAGATTAATAAAAAACGAGTACTCTCGCCAAGAGTGGATCATTAACTATGGCTTGGGGGCATTAATCATTATCTCTAATAAAAGATTAAAGATGATCATTCGTCATTAATAAATTGAGTAAAGCAGCTGGGCTATAGCTACATATTTCTCTCCTTTAGCTAGTGCAAAAGGTTATTCGGCGGCTGGGAGCGAACCAGCATCTTCAGTAAACCGGACTGATGTGTTAGCCATTACACCACGCTGCCTACTGCCTATCCTTAAGAATTTAATAGCTATATGCTTTACAATTGTATGCTATAAATTTGAACCAAGTGATCATTGCAAGAACTTAACTAAATTATTCCAAGATGTCCTCCCATTTATAATACACCGGGACCTAAAATTTCCAAATCCTTAGTCCTCTGTTTGAATTTAAAAGAGATTGTTACATATTTGGTTTACCGTAAATGCTCGAATAATTACCCTCTCTCAAATAATTCCCCCTTTAATAATTACAACCTCCTTTTCCATCTCAAATTTTAAAAATATTGAAAAAATCATTGCCAATTTTAATTATTGAAACATTATAAGAATCAATATCAAAAAATAAATGGATTTCCTCCTAGATTTATTGAGATATACACAAAATTTAGCCCATCCTCTTGATTAATTACCCCCTCCAGCGAGAGGTCGAAGCAAGAATTACCCAGGGTAATTATTTGAGCATATACGGTATCTAAATTTCGAATTCGAGTATACACGACTCGATCGCTCGGGTTTTTTTCGCATTTACTCGGGCTCGGAACTCGGAATCCTAATACTCGGATTACTCGTACTCGGACACTTCATACTCGGTACTCGAATTACTCTAATTATAAGTAAATAGTAGCAAAAACATCGACTTAGATAATATTAGTAATTTCGGTTAAAAATTAACAAAAAATGAATATTAAGTAGAATAACATGAAAATAAACCGAAAATTGGGCAAAACAAAAAATAAAAGGTTTTATGTCTAAAATAAAAATGTTTCTTTCACCCAATCGTTTCGCTCATTCATCTTTCACCGCTATAAAACCTTTCTAAAAAAATTTTTTTCCTTAATTTATACTTTTGCGCTTTTTACCAACACAACAATCATTAATTTCGTTCATTTTCCCTTAGCAATTTCAAACACAAAAATAATAATAATTTTTGGGAAAGTATAGGAAATCTATAAATTTAGTGAGAAAAAGAGGAGAGAATGATCTCCCTTTCAAATTTTATTTTTTAAATTGATCAAAAAATGAATGCGGAATTGGGCAAATAAACGTTGAAAATGAACGTTGAGCTAAACTATAACGTTCATTTTTCTTATCTTTTTATCAAAACAATTTTAAAAATTTTTTTGTAAATTTGCTACAAAAATGCAGTAAAAAGATCAGAAGCAAAGTTATAAAAATTAAAAAAAAATTTTTTTGAAATGCGTCCATCTCTAATCACCGAACTAATAAATTAAAATACAAAACATAAACGTAAAATTTAAAAAATTATAAAGATGAATTGTAAAAATTCAAAAAAATTTTTAGTCGAGTTTAGGGTTGGGGGATTGGTTCGGTTTGAATGATCGAACCGGCTACGAGTTTTGGCCCGAAAAAGATTCAACGGCCTGGCCCGAAAAAGATTCAACGGCCTAGCCCGAAAAAAATGAGGCCCAAAAAATACTCGAACGGTCAGTTCGAAAATCCAACCCTAATCGAATTCCTCCCTACTCATGATCACATAAACTAAAACACAGCGTTAAAAATCAACGAAAAAATATTTAAAAAATTTTAGATACAATTCAAAAACCAAATTTAAAAAGCAAAGGTTGCATTTAATTAAACACGCAAAAAGAAAGTAAAAATAAAGAAATTATTCCGCTTCTTTCAACAACTTTTTTCAATTAGCTTATAGCTATTTATTTATTCCCTTATATAAAAAAGCTATTCATTTTAGCGACAAAAAGAATACAAATCAATTGCTTCTCCTGCTAAAAAGGAGAAAAAAATGTTTTTGATGGTCACGCTTTATGGGTGAAGAAGCGCATTTTTGTTAAAGACTGGCAAACATGTCGATAGAAATTATTTAATATTTACTCAGTTAAACGTTTTAAGATTTGATATTATCTTTACAATATACGTATGTGCTAACATTAATCGAGATTGAGTTATCATTTCCTGACATTTTTGGTTGACTGACAGGATACAGCCGAAGTAGGCACGCGGCCATAACGGCGCAGAGCCATAACTTGCTTCAAGATTTCCAAATCTTACCAAATTTAGTATTAAACGATTCCTCTCATCGAGCTAAAAAGATAGGTACCAAAATTGATAAGGGCCGGAAATTTTCAAGCAAGTTATGGCTTTGCGCCGTTGTGGCCGCGCGCCTAGTGAGGCATGCACCGCTTGGCATTATAAAATGATATTCTGTAAACTTGACAATTTGAAAATGAGATTATTTGAAATTGACATTATGTAATAGTTGACATTATGTGATGCTTGATATTTTGTAATAGTTGACATTTTGTAATACCTAAAATATTTGACAAAATGAAATATTTTATTAATTCTCTCTCAGAAAAATAATTCACGTGCCTGTCATACTCACATGTCTTCTCTCACCGCTATGTTATAGAAGAGTAATGTAGTTAGAGAGAATAAACAAAGCCAGTTTAGGTCCTTTTTATAGCTCGTTTTACTCTGAAGCAATTTTCTTTTTTTATCGGCAAATAACTAGTTGATTGAAGAACAATTTTTTGTTTCTTTCAGACTTCTTTTCTCATCATAAACTTTTGTACGAAAGAATTTTTATCTGAATTTATAAAATTAATTGATTTAATTTTCTAATTTTATAAAGAACATACCCTTCCTCTCCAAAGTTGGACGAAATGTCTTCCTATATTATTTCCAAGCAACTTGTGACAATAATCATTTTACATTCATGTCAAAGTTCTTAAAAGTGAATTCTAAAAACGCTCACAATTCGACATTAGCTCCATTTAAATAGAACTTTTTAGAAAATTTCAAAATGTCGAATTTTCAAAATATCTAACATTCAAAATATCAATAATAATTTATTTATTAGTCTGTTTTCCAGTATTAGTCACTCAATTTGCCGATTAAATTTCCTCCTAAATCATTTTTAGATAAGAGAAACGACCGTTTTATTTAATCGATTTTTTCTTGTACACTTCAATTTGACAAAATAAATTTGTAAAATCAGGCATTTGCTGACATTTATTTACATTTTCTTCATTTATCAAACATCAAATTTAAATAATGAGCAGTCCAAAAAAGAAGATTTTGTTGAAAGTGATCATTTTAGGTTAGAAAAATTGAAGATTTTAAGAAAAAATAAATTTTGGGATCAAATGTCACCTTTAAGAAATTTGCTTAAATCAGTCTATAAAATCGCCCCAATGTCTATTTTAGGTTGCCTAGCACTACAAAATATGCTTATCAGTCCAGATACTCTGAAAATTATTCCTTTCTTGGTAAATTAAGTGAAAAAACTGGATGGTGACATTTGATCCCACAATTTTTAAATATTTTTTAAATTATTTTTCCAGGAGATTCGGGCGTCGGAAAAACCTCATTGATGAACCAGTATGTCAATAAACGATTTAGCAATCAATACAAGGTACAATTGGTGCTGATTTTCTCACAAAAGACATTACAATTGATGATAGGGTTGTGACAATGCAGGTTTCTTTTAAAATTTTTGGCTTCTTTTAAATTTATTTTGTAAGATTTGGGATACGGCTGGGCAAGAACGTTTTCAATCGCTGGGAGTAGCTTTCTACCGTGGAGCTGATTGCTGCGTTTTGGTATAAAATTTTTTTTGATGCTTTTCCGTTACACGACCGCAAACTGAGTGTAAGCCGATATTTTATCGAGGGAATTTGATTTGCAACTTATTTTTATAGGATCAAGCATCATAAAGTTATAGCCGATCAAAATCGGTTGGCACTAAGTTTGCGGTCGTATAACGGAAAAGTACCAATTTTTTAAATGTTTAAGATTTGTCCGGGAGGACGAAGGGAGATTTCTGTTCTTTTTATTTTCATAGCCTGGCCCCAAGCGAATATGTTGACTGGGTGTTTTTGGGATTTTTGTGGAAAATCGATTTACGGGATTCTCTTACAAATTTATGAAATTTCTATAAAAATCCTAAAAATTTTTTTGACCGACTCTCTCCCTTCCCCAAAAGGCTTCTCCTCAAAGAGCCTTTTCTCTTTCACATTTTGCAAAAATTTTATTTTTCACGTTTTAGGTTTATGATTTAACTTACGCTCCATCTTTCAAAAACTTGGAAAGTTGGAGAGACGAATTTTTGGTTCAGGCAAGTCCTCGGGATCCAGAAAATTTTCCGTTTGTTCTGCTCGGAAACAAAGTCGATAATGAAGCTGCTAGAGCCATACATGCAAAGCGTGCAGAAGGATGGTGCCAGTCAAAGTGTAACATGCCTTATTTTGAGGTTATTTAATTTTAATGGATAGACTAGACTTAGGGCCAGAAGTCCCTAGAAAGTGCTTGATATGTGGAACCATAGCCTATGTCCGAACGGAAGAATCCTAGATATCCGCAGCTGTCAGCCCCAGTCTGACACCACTATAAGACACTTAAATTAATGTCAGTTTTTTGTGGAGTTGTCAGCCTATTTATTTTTTGTGGTTGGATTATCCCCCAAAATCTTTGCATTTTTAACTTGTTTGGGGTTTAACTTAAAATTTCTTTTATAGGTTTCCGCAAAGGAGGCATTAAATGTGGATGAAGGTAAATTCTAAATAATTTATAATTTGTTGAAATTCTCCTTGAAATTAAAAAAATTTTTTTGGAAAATTTTTAGAATTTTGGTGTTTTCCCCATTATGCACTAAAAGTCCGGAAATTTTAT